CCGTTTTGTGTGGCACTGCTTATGGAGAGAGTATATATAGAATTGGTATATCCATCACAATTACAGTTATCTAGACGTCGGCCGCCATTCCCTATAAAAACAATCATTTTATAATAAAATAATACAAGGATTAAACTGCAATGACTTCAGACCTGATGCCCATATAAATACAGATCCCCGTCCGTGACGTCCCTTTCGTATGCCATCAATAAAAGCTAAAACAATTCAAACATATTTGTATTGCACTGTACTGTAAAACAATATGAAAGCGCCGAACCTCTCTGTGCAAGCCTTCCGGGCCCGTCCACTGTCTTGCCGTCATCTTCTGGACCCCACGACGCAGAGTATATGTCGATGTGATTGGGATTCATACTAAGCGCTCGCGCCTCCACCTCATCAGTCACTGTAACATATTATATATTTGACTGTAAGTATTGGTCGCACAAATCAATAAGGATAATGACTAACCGGTTCCGTCTAACATACGTACGCCACCGATGCTGGCATTGAATGCAATCCCAACCCCACAATATTCTGTATAATTCAAACAATACAATAATTATTATGATTTCAATCTATTATTTATAGCATACAATACCATTGTATGCTTGAGCTGCCACTTCTCCAGCGCATCGCGTGCCATGTCTTATGAGTTTAAAAAATTAGAGGACATTCTTTCAAATCAATAATGTTTTGTCTCACTTGTTGTCACCATTGTCTTGAGGTGTGGGGTCGGGATCGTTATCATTGATATCATAACTGGCCTGAGGGTCCTATTGACGAGTAATCAAGTTTATTATCATATAAACAATCTTCATTTATATCATGTAAAACTCACATAATTATTGGCTAAATCGGGATGATTTGGTTGAATGCCATCATCAAGAATAGTCACTACAACACCCCTCCCGGTGTAGCCCCTGTGTGTTTGCAAACAAATCAAATCAAATGCTAATTAATCATGTATAATGTATAATGATTAGAGTAGTGTCCGTACATATTCCAGGCGCCCTTCACGTTCATATCATATCCTCCGAGCGCTCCTTTATTCTGCAAAATATACATTAAATTATAGCTAAATATTGAGAATAAAACTTTATATTTTGATAGATTGGCACAAAAACACCGGAAATGTAGTGCCTATCGAAACATTGAATTTGCAAATAATGAGATTTTACAAATTTTTATCACAAAAAACTTGCATTCAAATCAAATTTAAATCATATTTATTTAATTCTAATTTTGTTTTTTATTGTCAAATAAGCCTTGAATTAGAGCACAACTTGTTTGTATAAAATATAATCAATTCATATGAATGTAAAAATTTGTTTAATTCAAGTATTAATCATTTAAATTAAAAGCAATTTATAGGAAATACAATAGATAGTTAGATAGTTGACCCAATTTGCTCTAAACCTATTCCCGATGTATCAAAAAATTGAATACATTTTCTCACACTTAATCGTTTCTTAAAGTATTTGTAAATTATTAACTAATTTTTTATAAGTATCACCAATACATTGGATTTATTATAACAATCGTACCGTAAATTACCACAAATAAATTGCTGGCTGTTATAGTAAATTTATTGAGCTATTTATGCCTATATTTTTAATCCATTGAGATTATAATTAAATTGTACGAAATGTATAGTTATTCACATCCAATGTGTGTATTTCATGTCAACTGCAATATATCAGAAATACTATACTAGACAACCCTCGGGGGGTTATTGCTGTGGTTTACGGTAATGTTAGTATTGAACGCTTGAAAGACAGCAATAATTGAAACGATTATTAATTTTAACATCTTTTTAGATAACTTCATTGAAATAAATGAAAATAAATTAGTTTTCATGTTAACTAAATCTATGCACTGATTAACTATAGATTATGAGTACATAAACACTCGTTTCAATTAATTCTTTGCATATTAAAAGTTTTAGTTAATTATAATTAGATTTGGGGAAAACCAAAACTATAAACAATAATAATAAATCAATTTTTAACTCAATTGACAATATTTTGCATTAAAGTCTAGATTTAAGGTGTGATGAGTGATGGCTAAGGGATATGAGCTCAAGAATAAAGGCATAAATTAGTGACTGAGTTGACAATGAAATGGATTGTCGTAAACATATAAACAAAGAGTGGTATTGAACTCAAGACCACTTCTTCAACAACACTCACCAAATACCACATGTCTTTGTAGAGCGGGTCTGGCATTGGCTTTGCAGAGAACCTGTACTCCGAATTGGGGTTATCTCTCTTCTTACGAATCTTCATCTCTTGCTGTTCAACCCATAACACCTGTCCATACATTACAACACATTAATAGACAATTGCACTATTAATTCATACTAATTATATTGCATTTAATACATCTATCATTTCAATCAATCAAATCATATATAACTCTAAAATATGGTACGATTACTGCCGTCAATGTAAACACAAACCATAACAGGTATGTTAGCTATAGATAGACTATACTCGAGTAGATTATACAGATGTACATGGTACATGATACATGGTCAATTGTCTAATACAGTATATTAAATACAATATAAATCAGCATTAATCAAGACTGACATCACTGTCTTCGCTGAGCTGAGAGTGATGTGAATGTGAATAATCTGCGGACCTCTCGGCGATGTGATGGACGAGCATTGAATAGTGACAGTCAATGATCTGCGAGTGATTACAACAAATGATCAAATGGTGGGACAAATGGATAGAGGGGTAAAGGATGTGAGGGATGGATGACTACCTGTCCGTTGTATTGATATCCATATCTTAGTGCCAATTGTTTGGCAGAGGTTTCGTCACATTTATCTGGTCTGAGATGAACGGCGAAAGTATTGGTGAACTGTTTGTCCTCACATTTGCACACATTTACACTAATAGTCAATATTATTAACACTAAAAACAATTCATTGATTACAAGTGTCTTTAATTTAGGTTTCATTGGATTTAAATCACAGATAAATATATGAATTATATTATAAATAATTGACAAATAGTTTGTTTGAGTCAAC